AAATTTTAATTTTTTCGTTGAACGTAAAAATAAAAAGTCAATTAATAAAAGGTTCTCCAATTTGGATGAAAATTTTAGGGCAAGTGTATTTTGACCTTCCAAAAAACTTAAACGATTTTAATCGATTAGCATAGTACAATTTGGACTTTACTATGCAGTGATTGTTATCGATCGTATTATTATATATAAAAAAATTTTTTGTATTATTGATCACATGCATATGATTTTATTGGTCTGCTATATATACCGAACGTTCGGTATAGAGAACGAACTGTATAAAGCGAACTCACTCTATACCAAACAAAATCTCCCAGAACATGCAGTTCGGTATAAAGAGAATCGACTATATGTTTTTGATGTGACATGGTAGAGAGAGCTCAAGGGTTTTCTTGTTCTACCAAGTCATCTCAGGATGCTTTGCTATTAGTTTGAAAAGCTGTTTTTGTGTCTTGAGTAGAATCTGAAGCATTTGAAGTAGAGCTTGTGTCCGAGAACTTAAGACTAAATGAAGTGGGTTTTGGCATGTTTTTTTTGTTGTTAGGCTCAGAGGTAATTGTTGTTGTTTTATATTTTTTTGTGTGGTAGTTTAATCTCTAAAGCTTGAATATGTTTTCTGTTCAAAGGAGCAAGGACTTTAGCCCCTGCTAACTGTAGTTTAAAAGAGTTTAGTTTTGTATTTAACATATGTATTTTGTTTTTTAGTAAGCTTCTGTTTCTGCCAAAAGTGTATAGGAAAGAGTTGTGCAGATCTTTCCTCATGATCCTTTAACTTCATTTAGTAAACCCCATTTTTCTTACCACTCATATTCTTCTACTAGATTGCTACTTTTGAGATTACTTTCTTTTTCTATAAAAAACTTTCACTCTATGTTAGTGCTTCTACCGAACCGAACCGAACTGAACTTCTATCAAGTTCAAGTTCGGTCCAAAAATCAAACTGAACCCAAACCCAAACAAGATTAAAAATATGTTCTGGTTCAGGTTTTGGTCTGATTTTTTTTATTGTATTCAGTTCGGTTCGAGTTCGGTCCAAAAGTTCATGAACATGTTCAAGTTCGATAGGATTTCTAGTCAACTAAATATTTTAAATTATTTAATTATTTATTTCATTTTATCTTAGAATCGTTAACAATATACTGATAATACAGTAAACTTTAATTCATAAAATGGCGAATAGAAGTAAATAGTAGAACTATAAATAACATAATATGCAAACAAACATATGAATCTTTGTCTTGAAAAAGACTTTTACAGAACATGATGATTACTGTAGTAATCACTATGTTCTTAAAGTCTTTTTCAAGACAATGCTCAAATAGTAGATAGACTTTACACATTATTTATTAGGTAAGTAAACATTATAGTTTTTAAAGTTGAACCTTGTTATTACAAATTCCTAACTTTTCCTTCAATGGCCCTTGCATCCATGACTTGAGGCATTGTGCTGCTCTTACAGTTTTAGGTGCCAAACTGAACCTCTTGTTTGTGATCATATTTCTACCTGAGGAAAAGGCACATTCAGAAGCGATGGAAGATGCTGAGATGGCTAAGTAGTCTCTAGCCATATACGCAAGGTGGAAAAATTGTGTTTGGTGTGTCTAAATATATAGTTATATTTAATAAACAGAATATATGTGATTTTTGCTTACAAAATAGCTCTTTGGAACTATGTTTTACATAGTCCCGAAGGGTTATTTTGTTAGCAAAAATCACATATATTACTATCATTACCTTCCATCATTCCAAATATTTAAAATACTATTGGTAGGATATATGGAATTTTGCTACCAAATATCCCTTCGGGACTATGTTTACATAGTCCCGAAGGGCCATCTTGTTAGCAAAAATCCATATATTACTATCATTACCTTCCACCATGCCATTACATCTATTTCTTTATTTGCAGATTTCTCTGAGATATAGCATTCAACTTTATCAAAGACTTCATCGTCCTCTTCAAAGTCTGCATCCAGGATTGATCATGTAGTTAATCCCATAGTATTGTTGGTGCGCAGATTGTTATTAGACATAATAGTTGGTATATACTCTGTTTCAAAAAGATTACGCATTCTAAAAGGCAAATTTGTTATGAATAGAAGATAAATTAAAATAAATAAATTAATTAAATTAATTGTTATAAATAATTGAATTAAATAAAAAATAATAATAAATTAAATTAAAAATAAATTAAATTTGTGCTAACAAAATAGCCCTTTGGAACTAGTCCCAAAGAGTCATTTTGTTAGCAAAAATCCCAATTAAATAATAATAAATTAAAGAATAAGAATAAAAATAAATTAACTAAATAAATTAAAAATTAAATTAATTAAAAATAAATTAAAAATTAAAAAAATAAATACAGTAATAAAAATAAAATAAAAATATAAAGTTTAAAAAAAAGACAAAAATAATTTTAAAAAATAAATTAAAAATAATACAGTACTTTTGTTCTATCAATTTCATCATCTGGAAATTCTTTCTTAATAAAATAATGGAATTTCTTTCTTGGATCTAATGCTATACATAACATTATAATAGTATTAGTTTTAGAATAATACTGGACTAATTTTTCTCTTGCTGCTATAGCCACAGCAGATAGTGATAAACTAACAATTTAATTTGTTTATAGGTAAGTAAAAATCTAAAGTAAAATTTTTATTAACAAAAATTCTGTTATAAATTTAAAATTAAATATTTAGCTAACTTGCTTTCTAATTCTACCACATTCTCAACATGGTTAAAAATAATATTAAAGAGGTGAATAACCCAGTAAGCTGTACTATCTGAACTAGATGACATTTTGTCTGTAAGATCCTTAAATAGTTCAAGAAATTTGGCAATTTTCTCTAATATGAACTATTGATTATGTAAAATAGCATGGTTATGAAGATCATCATGAGAGCTAGTAAGACTATTAAGTGTCTATAGATTTATTAGAATTTATATCTCTAAACATCTAACTATATGGGATTTTTGCTAACAAAATGACCCTTCGGGACTATGTAAAACATAGTTCCAAAAGATCATTTTGTTAGCAAAAATCTTATATGAATGCTATCAAATTAAATCTGAAACTGAATATATAATAATTATATATTTAGTTCCAGGTTTTAATTTGGTAGCACTCTTGAATTAAAACACAAACCTACTGGTTTAAGATATAACTCATTTTTTATCATGTCATAAATAAAGTTTCACCTAGTAAAACAATCCAGAATAGGTTTATTAAACTTAATATGACATGTATTACAAGTGTTCTCGAAGAGCTCAAAACGTTAGAGTGAAGTGCGAATAGCAGAGTTAAGTTCTTGAATCTTCAATTATTCTTTATTAGCATAATATAATGATAATAATGATACAGTATAAAGTTTATACTAATACTCTACAAACAACATCCTCTATTTTTTCAAGAGCTACTTGTGTAGCCAAATTAAGAATATAATTAAAGCACCGGAATCGAAGGTGTTCTGAGTTCTATTCGATGTTTTCCTCTTCTCTTAACTTTGTTGCTAATTTATGCACAAAAGTGCCATTATTACCAGCATTGTCTAAAGTGATAGCAAGAAGCTGTTAGATAAAAAAAAAGGTATATATTTTATTGTATTTTATTATAAGTATATATATATATATATATATATATATATATATATTTTTTATATATAAGGGTTAAAATTCTAAATATTTAAATTCTATAAAAAGCTACATAACAGTGTCATCAATTGGACTAACTGGACCTAGCAATCAGACTAATTAGATAGACCAATTAGTCTAATTGCTAGGTATATTGGTCCAATTGCTACTACTAGT